TTATTATTATTATTGTCGTTCTTGTTGTTCTTCTTCTTCTTATAATATTTTCCCTCATCATTATCATCCCCCCCCCACACACAATTCTTCCTCCCAGGTACAAGTAAACAACGACCAGAGCCGAGCGTACGCGCTAAAGATCTTGAAGAAGCACCACATCGTGAAGACGAAGCAGCAAGAGCACATCATGAACGAGAAGAGAATTATGATAGAGGCGCGCTCCGACTTCATTGTCAGGTCAGTCCGTCTGAGGGTTGTGCTGGGATCTGGTCTGGCTCATGATGATGATGTTGTTGTTGTTGTTGTTGTTGTTGTTGTTGTTGTTGTTGTTACTCTATTTATCAGTGGTTGTGTGGTGATGGTGAAAATGCTTGCGTCTTTTTTGTCTTGGGGGGGGGGAGCGCTTTTTGCTGTGTGTGGTTCCTTTTGAGCTTTCTTTTCTTTAAAGACTGTATAATGATAGGCTCGCTCTGAATCATGTAAACGAATGAACGGACAAGGAGTCTACTGTTTGTGGTTTATGTGGTTAATTTCCCGTCAATTACAAAACATACGTCTAGTCTCTCAACATTTTTTTCTCTGAGGGCAAGTGCGCCCCAAAATATTTCTTAAAATGAAGTCTTGACAAGCACACCATTTGGGAAGGACGGAAGTTGCAATGAACTTTTTATGACAGGTGTCCCGTCCCCAAATGTTGATAGGTTGTGGAGAATTAAAAGTAGTAAATGGTGAGTCTTTTTAGTGACGGTCATGTTTTGTCTTCCGCGCACAACTTAGGGCAATAATAGAAGTAGGCTAGGTCTACTGAAGACAAACACAAAGGATAGACCACGCCGAGAAGTGCTATAAATGACCAATAACAATAGAAGACCACCTATCGAAACGGTAAGGGGGGGGGGGGGTACAGTTGAACTCATGGGGCATGTATACAGAAAAACTAAGTATGACAGGAAAAATCAAAGGGAAGGAAGGCCGAGGACGCCAGAGCACAAGATGCATAAATTACCTGTAGGCCTACACCTGGGTAAATAACATCAGATGAACAATAACCCATTCATGAGGTCCTTGAATCAGAGAGAGGAATGAAAAAACCATAATCGCCAATGTCTGCTCCAGAAAATACATTTGATGATGGTGAGAGCCCAGGGCTCTCCGACTACCCACAGCGTTGTTAGTAAACAAGCGAAAGGAGAACCCCGATTGTCATCAGAGAGCTGCATCCAAAAAGTTTAGAATCTTCTCTTCTCTTTATCACAGAAATGGTTTACCTGTCAACTCCTTATGATTACGAATACTTCAGAAATCCACTCCGCATAATGATAAGCCTAACGTGGGGCCACGTTGATTTGCGAATTCTATAAGATGCCTCCTTTCAGTCTTGTAACTTTTATGCAATTTCTTTATGTATTGCTCCGGCTATCCCATCTTCCATTCCTGTGCCGGTGATCTCTGTGTGTAGTGGATACGTCACTTCCAGTCCATCATGCAATCATCCCCTGACAGATAAATAGCCCGGGGTCTTTGCGGGTGCTCTTCTGGAGTGCGGATCATTTTCACGTAAGGGGCGGTCACCGGGGATTAAGACTAAAGCCGATGTACTTAGCCAGCATTGACCTCCCTTTGATCAGGGTGTGCCATGGAGTTACCAACAAAAGTTGGTCGTTCCATGGTAGCATGATAGTGAAGGTCATGGGAATCATAGAAACATTCTAATCGTAGAAGGTACAGGTTGCTGATTTGATTGATGAGTGGTCTGCGCTGCTTAATCATTTACATCGAGCAAAAGTTTAGAAATGTTTTAACTCTAAAAGTTATGCCAGTTAAGTACATGTAATTGAACTGGGATTTTTGTGGTAGTTTTATTTTTCAGTTACTCTTGTTTCGTTTATTTATTTATTTTATTTATTTACTTTTCTTTTCTTGTTTTCAGGTTATACAAGACATTCAAGGACCGAAAGTTCTTGTATATGATGCTCGAGGCGTGTCTTGGAGGAGAACTCTGGACTGTGCTTCGGGATAGGTAAGTAAATTGTTATAGTTCTCTCTCTCTCTCTCTCTTTCTCTCTCTCTCTCTCTCTCTCTCTCTCTGTGTGTGTGTGTATGTTTGTGTGTGTGTGTGTGTGTGTG